CCCGCCCCCTGGCGCTGGCGTTCGGCGACGCGCCCGCGCCACCTAGGGGCGGGACCGAGGGGAGGGGCTTATGCAAATATGTTTATGTTAAAATTCCTGGTCGCTTCCTTGGCATCCAGGAAAAAGAGTTCTCCGGGGCGCGGGTGCGGGGGCCCGGCTCCGGGGGCGGTTCCAGCCGTCCGCACACCTTTATCAGGACCGTCTATAGCGCTCGCCGTATCAGACCCACGACTGCAGAACCTCCCTCGGAGGCTCCCCTGCCCGGTACACCGAGCGCGTCGGCCTGGAAACGAAACGTTGCACATTTCCGCCACTCACCTTGCACCGAAGGACTAGATCCTCGGGAATCGGGACTGCTCGGGAGTGGAGAGCGAGGCAGGTCCCCGGATTGACAAAACAATCTGGGGAGCGCGTGCGTGCTCGGCGCGCCGGGGGCGGGAGAGCCGCTCGGCAACCCAGCGGTCCACTCGGGCGCAGCGGGGGGAAAGCAGCCCGAGCGGCTCCGGGATTTTCCAGCCCGTGTCTTTGTGACGGATTCGCAGGAAAGGTAGCTCGAGGAGGGTGAGCTCCGGCTCCCCAGCTTGCTGAAGGTCGCCATCCTGGCTTTAATGTGTGTGTGTTTAATGTATAGGACCCTATGTAATATCCTGTTTTTATGATTACACACATTCAACAGAAAAATCTGCTCTGTCCAGGCTGCCGGGTGGAGTCCTCAGGCGGGGAGGGGGCGCCCCTGTGAACATAGGGTTTCCCACCTTCCTCCTTCAGGGTTCAGACCCACTCCCCCCTCCTCTGCACCCCCAGTCCCTCCTCAGGCGTATGGGGACCAACAGGTGCTCTGAGCTTCCCGGGTCTCTGTCTCCCCGCTGAAAAGACTCGCTTCGCCCGACTCGCTCTCCCTCCTTGAAATTGCCTTTGCCTTCTTTTGAACCAGGGAGCCCACCCTCTTGTCTGCTTTTTAATTACTTATTTTCTTCTCCTCTAAATGATGGTGTGCTCCCTGACCCTCCGTTGCTCAAGCATCAAATTGAAGGACGAGCCATATTAAGGGTAAAGGTTTATAAAAATTTAAGTATTCATAGAATGCAGAACAATAAGATGTAGGAAATACAATTTGCATAATAAATATCAATATCACAACAGCTAAAACAAACCGTGACAAATTATCTGTGGCTAAGTGACCACGAGATTACTGAATGTAAATTGCTAAGTCTGAGCTGTAGTCTAGCGGAGCTGCACCAAATGACTGGGCCAGACCCTCTGTCCTCATCTTCTTAAAAACAAACAAAAAAGCAAACAAACAAATATTGCATATCAAAAAGGAAGTCAAGATCTGCACACCCACCAAATGAGTTACATTTAAAAACAGCCTCCTATTACCCATTATGCATAAACTAATTTCAAGACTGCCCTGTCTTCGCAGCCCTGGAATTTCTGCTTTGTAATTACAGGCCACATGCATGAACTGCAGGCAGTCCTCCAGAAGTGGGGAAAGCTCCAGCAGGCAAATAGCACTACATGAGGCAGGAAACCATCACCACCTGGAAACCAAAGTAACGTCCAATCTGCAACGTCCTGCCTATTCTTATCACCTCTGAAAGTAAAGCTACCTGGATCAGACCAAATGCAAAGCAGAGTCCCAACAAAATCAGGATAAACAATTTGAGGCCATACAAGTCCTGAAAGTGATATGCAAACTATAAGGCTAGGTCCTATATGTCAGAAACTCGAGCATCTTAGCACAGAGCCTAGCACATAATAATATTATTTGCTATTATTATTGCTACTTTTGCATTTGCTGAGTTCTTATTAAGTGTTTTGCATGCATAATCTCATTTAAGTCTTGGAACAATCCCCATGGTACATACTATTATTATCTCTCATTTTATATTTTTTAAACATCATTAGGAAGATTAACTCATTGGCCCAAGGTCAAAGTTTCTAAAGTGCAGACAGAGCTTTTGCAATTAACCAGTATGCTATACTGTGCCTCAATAAGTATTTGTTAAGTGGATGAATACATTTCACATTATAATGCATGAATAATAACCATAGCTACATTTTTAACATAAGGTAAAAATATGCCAGCAGCTCAGAAACATTTTTTAAAATAACAGGATTGCATTATACTCCTAAGGAAAAACATTCCTCATGAAGCTGACTCTCCAAGAGAATCTAGTCGGGCCCCAGTCCTCCCACACTAGGAACACAGTATGGGGACATTGGAAGACGTGGATGGTTTCATATCCCTTCATTCTCTTGGCACATCGAAGGAACACCTACTCAAATTTCCAGTTGGCAAAGAACAACATGGGACATTTTTGTAGGAAATGCTAATGTTGTATGACTTACCTCACCAGAGGAATGCAAATAGCTTTAAAATTTTCCACCAAAAAATGCCACCTGTGCAATAAGTTTAAGAAACTTGCACAGGTCATGGGGCATCCAAATTGCACATCCAAATTCCCAGGTCATGGGGCGGCTTTATCACTGCGTCGCCCTGGAAAGAACCACAGCTGAACATTTGGAATTAGGCTGCTGCTACCCTACCCACTAGCCGCACACCTCTCCACCCCCAGCTCTTTCACACTCAAGATATCGCCAAGGGACTTAACATATGGAACGTGAAGAACGTATCAACTTCCCACAGCCGCTAGATGAAGTTATGACGCCTCTGCCTTGCTCCTAGGAGAGCTCGTCATTTTCTGCTTTGTGGCCTAGAACTGCTGGCCAATTACAAGTTCCAACGTGTTTCCCCTTGCTACATGGATTTAGAAAATTTTGAAAACCAGATGGTGTTTTTGCCATTTATAACTGATAATCAATTGTTTTGTGAATTTAATTTTTCAAGAAAGAACTGAAATACTTATCAGAATTATAATCTGGGTGCTGCTTGTGTTAGAATAAAATTGCCAGGAGCACTTAGACCTCAGCTCTACATTTTTGCCAGGGAAAACTTTGACGAGTGAGAGGCAGGGAGACCCTATATTGTTTGCCTTCGCTAACACAGTTGAAGAATATGGGTAAACATACATGAAAAATAAGCACAGAAGGGAGATGCATGTTTTAGGAAATACATCGGAGATAATAAATGAGAATTAGTAACATTTTGCTTCTTTAAATGCTAGTTCCTTGAGTACCCATGTATAAAAAGCAATAAAGACAAATTATAAGGGAAAAGAAAACAATATTTAGAGTCAGCATTTGCCCTGCTACTGGATTATCTGAGTACCCATAGGAAAGTGGTTTAATCCGCTTATACACTGAATGTTTTTGTCCCTCACCCCCAAATTCCTGTGTTGAAGCCCTACCCCCTAATGTGATGATATTGGGAGGTGGGGTCTTTGAGAGGTGATTAGGTTTAAATGAGGGGACCCTATGACAAGGGCCCTATGATGGAATTGATGCTCAAGGGAGAGACTCCAGCGCTTGCTCTCTCTCCACATGCAGGCACTGAAGAAAGGCCATGTAACTATGCAGCTAGAAGGCAGCCTTCTGCAAGCCAGAAGGAGGGCCCTCACCGGAACCCAACCATGCTGGCATCCTGCCCTCAGACTTCTGGCCTCCAGAACGGCAAGAAAATAAATGTCTGTTATTTAAACCATCCAGTCATGGTCTTTTGTCACAGCAACCAAGATGAATAAAATAATCCCTAAGCCTCATCTTCCATTGTCAAAGGTGTATTAAAATTATAATAAATGTCAGCTTGTTATAGGAAATCTCCCATAATGTAAAGTAAGTTAGTAGTATGTTAGAGTCCTGGACTGGGGAGACTCTTGGTCTGTCTAGTAGACAGCTCATCTATACTTAGATTAAGACTAAGCAGCTCATCTTTGGGGGCAACAGCCTGTGAATCTTTATGAAATATAAAGCCAGCTAAATCCATATTCCTAAATGAGTACTTAAATACTTTGCCCATAGGTTTAGTCTTCTCCAAT